GCATGAAATTGAAAGGAATAAGAACAATTAGAGTGAACCCAACATAAATCAAGGCTTAAGAGATGATTTCATGGTTGTTCCCTTACCAGAAAACCGAAAGCATTCTCATCGGCAAGAGCAGCTCGTGGACAGGGGCAAGGAGAACAGAGCAGATCCGAAAATTCTGTAGAGGGGAAAGATTTCCAAGCTTTAAATCTGGTTCTTGAATCAGAAAAGAAAGGCAAAAATCAGCTTCCTTATCGGTTTTTTCCAAGTGGGCTGTTGTCGAGCTTGGCTAGATGTTTGTTCGGTGCAGGGGAGAAGGAAAATGAGTAGAAACACGCGGCTGAGGAAGAAAAGAAGGAAAAAAAATCAGCCCATCCTTATCCTAATTCTCTCTTTTTAAGCCCCTCAAGTTTGAGAATTTGATGATTAAGTTTAAAAGTATTATTTTCTCACAATTAGGTCCCTAGCTCACACTTAATTGTTCTTGAAAATTTTGGGGTATTACATCCACCCCTCCTAAAAAAGAGTTTAGTCCCCTAAACTCATACCTCAATCTTGGAAGAAGTGCGGATGTTCCTACCTCATCTTGGATTCCAACTCCCAAGTAGCTTCTTCAACCGAATGATTATCCAAGAGGACCTTAATAAAACTAATGGTCCTTCTCCGCATTATCCTCTCCTTGAAATCTAAAATGTGGATCAGGTGCTCATCATAAGTGAGATCATCCCAGAGTTGAATTGGTTCGGGATTAATGATGTGACTCGGGTCGGGAACATACTTCCGAAGTAAGGACACGTGAAACACATCATGAACACCCGTTAAATTTCCAGGCAACTCCAATCTACAAGCTACCTCACCAATCCTTTCCAAGATAGGATATGGTCCAATATACCTCGGACTCAATTTTCCCCGGATGCCAAACTTGAGGACACCTCGAGTGGGTGACACCTTCAAAAATAAATGGTCACCAACTTCAAACTTAAGGTCTCGTCTCCTTCTATCCGCATAACTTTTCTGCCTGCTTTGTGCAGCACAAAGGCGTTCCTTGATCAACTGCACAATCTCAGAAGATTGTTGCACCAATTATGGGCCTAAAATGCTCCTTTTGCCCACCTCCGTCCAACAAACAGGTGATCTACACCTTCGACCATACAAAGCCTCAAACGATGCCATGCGGATGCTGGATTGATAATTGTTATTATATGCGAACTCAGCCATGGATAAGTGTTGATCCCACAAACCCTTCTAATCTAAAATACAAGCCCTCAACATGTCCTCAAGTATCTGAATAGTTCTCTCAAATTGCCCGTCAGTTTGAGGATGGAAGGCTGTACTGAAATTTAATTGAGTACCAAGTGCCTGCTGCAAGCTTGTCCAGAAATGAGATAAAAATCTGGTATCTATCTGACACAATAGACACAGGGACTCCATGCAGCTTGACTACTTCATTCATGTATATATTGGCAAGCTTCTCAATGGAGGTGCCAGTCCGATAGGGTAAGAAGTGAGCTGATTTGGTCAATCAATCAACGATGACCCAAATGGAATCATTACCCTTTACGGTTCATGGTAAGCTTGTCACAAAGTCCATGGTGATGTTCTCCCACTTCCACTGGGGAATAGGTAAAGGCTGCAGTTTCCCAAGAAGTCTCTGGTGTTAGGCCTTGACTTTTTGGCAAGTCAGGCATTGTGAGACAAATCTAGTTATCTCCCTTTTCATGTTTCGCCACCAAAATGTACTACGCAAATCACGATACATCTTGGTGCTACCTAGGTGAATTGTATAGCTAGTATAATGGGCATCTCCCATAATTTCACGCCTTAAAGCATGATCTCTTGGTACACATAGCCTATCACCAAATCACAGTCTCATCTTCAGAAATTCTAAATTCTTGCATGTGGGGTTCCCCTGCTCTTACTTTTTCCTTCATCCTCTGCAAGAAAGGATCCTTCTGCTGGGCAAGTTTAATTCTATCTATTAATGCTGGTTGTGCACTGAGAGCAGCTAGATAAGCCGTAGTACTGTCCACTCTCAACTCCACATCTAGTTTCATAAGAGCCTCAAGTAACTCCTTCTGAGTGGCAAGGATGCTAGAGGCAGTGCCAGAGGACTTCCTAGTCAACGCATCTTCTACTTTGTTGGCTTTGCCTGGATGATAGCTAATGGTCAAGTAATAGTCCTTCAAAAGTTCAAGCCATCGCCTCTGCCTCATATTAAGCTCCTTTTGAGTGAAAATATACTTAAGGCTCTTGTGATCGGTGAAAATTTCACAAGTCTCACCATAGAGATAATGCCTCCAGATCTTGAGTGCAAATATTACAGCTGCCAACTCTAGATCGTGGGTGGGGTAATTTTCTTCATAAGGCTTTAACTGCCAGGACGCATATGCAATAACCCTATCTTTTTGCATCAAGACACATCCCAAACCCTTTTTAGAGGCATCACTATATATGGTGAATCCTTCCCCATTGATTGGAAGTGCAAGTACAAGAGTAGTGACCAACTTCGCCTTTAGGGTCAAAAAGCTCTCCTCACACTCTGGAGTCCACTCAAACTTGGCATCCTTCCTGATCAGACGAGTCATTGGCAGAGCAATTCTAGAGAAATCCCCCACAAATCGGCGGTAATAACCAGCCAATCCTAGAAAACTACGGATTTCTGCGACACTATTCGGCCTTTTCCAATTCACCACGGCCTTAATTTTCTGGGGGTCAACAGAGATTCCATCCTTAGTCACAACGTGACCTAGGAATGCAACATTGTCTAGCCAAAATTCACACTTCTTAAATTTAGCAAACAGCCTCTCACTTCTCAATGTCTCGAGGACTGTCCTTAAGTGCTTTTCATGAAGAGCACGGCTAGAAGAATAGACCAAAATGCTGTCAATAAAGACAACCACAAACTTGTCTAGGTACTGGCTAAATACCCGATTCATCAAGTTCATAAATCTGGCAAGGGCATTTGTTAAACCAAAAGGCATAACCAGGAATTCATAATGACCATAACGGGTGCGAAAGGCAGTTTTTGGCACATCATCAGGTTTAATCTTCAACTAGTGGTAACCAGATCGAAGATCAATCTTAGAAAATACCTGGGCACCCTTGTGCTGGTCAAACAAGTCATCAATTCTAGGAAGGGGATACCGGTTCTTCACAGTTACCTTATTTAGTTCCCGGTAATCAATGCATAGTCTCATGCTCCTATCTTTCTTCTTAACAAACAACACTAGAGCTCCCCAAGGTGACATACTTGGGTGTATAAATCCTTTCTCAAGGAGTTCCTCCAGTTGAATCTTTAACTCCTTCAATTCTGCAGGAGCCATACGGTATGGTGCTTTGGAATTAGGTCTGGTGCCAGGAACAAGGTCAATAGCAAATTCAACCTCCATATCCGGAGGTAAACCTGGGAGATCCTCCGGAAATACATCCGGAAACTCACACACCACAGGCATGTCTTCTAGTCTCGATGTCACACTACTAGCATCAGTAATGGAGACTAGGAAACCCTGGCAACCATTTACAAGATATTTCTAAGCCTGCAAGGCAAATATTAGCATGGGTGGAGCAAAAGAACCACTGCCTTGGAAACTAAATTTTGGCTCACCAGGGATATTAAAAATTACCCATTTCTGATGGCAGTCTATAGAGGCAAAATGTTTTGACAACCAATCCATCCCCAAAATGATATCAAAATCATAAATATCTAAAACAAATAGGCTAGCACCCAACTGTCTACTATCAATATAAATATCCACAGTCCTACACACATCTCTAGTAGTCATCACCCCTCCTAAAGGGGTGTCCACATGCAGTTCACAATCAGAGGTATCAACAGGCAAAGCTCATTTCAAAGCATAAGATCGAGCAATAAAGGAGTGCAATGCACCTGAATCAAATAAAACATGTGCAAAATCAAAGTTGATAGGCAAAGTACCCGTGATTACGTCGGTAGCCGCAGCTTTCTGATGCGTCATCACATGAACTCTTGCCTGCTGGGCTCTTGTCCTAACCCCGACATTTTGTTTCGGTGCCCCCTGATTGGTAGACCCCTGATTGGTAGACCCCTGCTGAGATGCAGATTGAGTACTTTGAGCTCTAGGGTCTAGCAGCGGACAATTTGCAATCTGATGTCCTTGCTTGCCACATTTGAAGCAAGCTCTAGTAACAAAGTGGCACTGATCATGGGTGTGCCCAACCCTCCCACAAACGGTGCAAGTAGGTGGAGTAGGGCGAGCACGTTGAGCCGTGGATGCCTGGCCCCCAATCTTGGTAGCTCCTGCCCCTTTAGAACCCTTGTTGCTATTAGACTTAGGTAGTGCAAGGACAAAGGGCCTACGGCTCCCATCGAATTTTCTCTTCCCCAGGGATGACCCAACACTGTGCTGTCCTGAGGACTTGACTCTAGCCATAGCCTTCTCTTGATCTATGGCTCTGTCCACTGCCTCTCGATAAGTGGCGGGTTTAAATTGGTTTACTGCCAAATAAATATTGGAATTCAAGCCCCATAGAAATTTGTCAGCCTTGGCTTGCTCATCTCTAACTTGGCTACCCATAAAAGGCAGATAGCGGTCAAACTCCTCCTTGTACTGCTCAACAGTACCTGACCCTTGCTTTAAATCTGCAAATTCCCTTTGCAGTTCCCGCCTTCTGCTATCCAGTATGTACTCTTGCATGAACACCTTTTTGAAACCATCCTAGGTGCTCAATTGGCTTTCCTTGGTGTGGCTTCAGATAACTCTCCCACCAACTTAATGCTTTCCCAATAAGCATATAATTGCCTACGTTGACCTTAAGGTCACTAGAAACCTGCAGTAGGCAGAATCCCCGCTCCACCTCGGTAATCCACGATCCCACCTGCTCAAAACCTGCAGTACCATCAAATCTCTTGGTCACCACCTTTTGGAATTCTGTATAGACCTTCCAGCTAGGCACCGCAAGAGCAGAAGAAATAGGAACAAGGGAAATTGGAGCAGGGGCCATAGGAGTGGAAACCACTAGGGATAGAGGTGGCACACTTGTGGCAGGAGATGCTTGGCGTCTTATCTCCGCCATAAGTTCCTGAACAAAGGTGGTCAATTGAGGATTGCTCGTCCCTCCCTCCTGCGAAGCAGCTTGGGTAGGGGGACTAGCAACTGGGATCGGAGGAGTGCCCTGATCTTTACGGCTACCCCTCGGGCGCCCACGCCGTTTTGGAGCCATCTATAACCACATAAAAGGCGTATAGACTATTAATCAAATGCTCCAACGAGAAATTTCCCGACAAGTTTCCACTTTTGGGACCAAGCAACACAAAATAAAATAAATAAAAATCCCACACATTAAGGAAAATCAAACAAGCGCCCTTAATCAACCCCGCTCTCATGCCTCACCACGTTCCTCAAACTAATTTGCTAGCCAAATTCTAGACTAGCCTTAGGCTCTTAATTTAAACCTAGGCTCTAATACCACAAAATCTATCACACCCCCAAACCTCGAAAGGGACGTGACAGACGCCGTGCACTCGTGAAAGAGACCCACAAATGCACAAGGCTCGGAACCTACTGAGTTCTTACTTAGCCATTCAGACAATTCAAATCTAAACCTTTTTATTTACCAAATATTTACCGGTCAAGATGTACAAAATTTATAATTTCATATATACAATCATGACTAAAACTAAGGAAGCTCTGTACACAAAATTTCTATGTCAAGCATGGGTGACTAGCGGCCTAACTACAAAAATCCAAGTTCAAAAATGCCTAGTAGTCTAGCTCATCACTACCTCGGGCTCCCAATGCGTCGGGTCTCACTACCTGAAATGGTGGACAAGGAAAACTATGAGATAAACTCAGTAAGTAAAATATGGAGTGCCCCTTATTAAACTTATAGCATGCCAACAAGTGTAATCACGAAAAACAGATATAGTACGGGAACGAAATAGACATCTCCTCTATAGGTCATGGCCAGTGTTATAAACCACCCACTGGTAGGCGCATTATTTGCTGGTGTATAACCCCCACTAGCAGGGTCACTCGAACGAACCGGTTCTATCAATAACATGTCAACATGTGCAAGTGTTTATAAACCCCCACTAACAGGGTCACTAATAACATGACCACATCGGAGACAAAACAAGCGGAAGTTAACAGAAAAACCATACTTTACACATCATTTCCAGATCATCAGGGCAGTTAAATAAACTTCAAGTAGGCATGCTCAATTCAATGGAAAACATAATAATTTCATTTCAAATCAGTCATGCTCATATTTGTGTAAAACGGGTTTAGTCCCACCACCATTTCAAAAGCAAGTTAAAATATGTTTTAAAATCAAAGGGCGTTACCATAATTTTACTTACCTCAATCGCATAAAGCAGAAAACTCACTCCAAGAGCTAGGGTGATAGAATAATCAAGAACCTAGCCAAAATATTCCAGAATTAATAATCATATGAAAACTACCTATTTATCCTTTTCAATATTGTTGTTGGCAAAACTCCAAAATGCCATATTTATTATTTATATTTTTTTCTCCAAAATTTAACACTGCAACCAGAATATATATATATATATATATATACACATAGCTCCCTAATCCCACAGACAACAAAAATGGAAGAACCGGTTTTGGCAATCTAGTGGCTAACACACGAAATTTTCTCTAGACAATTTCACAACAATTACTCAAGCTAATTTCCACTTAATCTAAACAAAACCCACTTAAAGCTACTGAAATTCCCCCATATTTCCAACAAAATTCGGACAACACAGAGCAGCCACAACAAGGACCAAATTCAGCAAGGCAACCACCAATTAGATGAAATTTGGACTTAAAAGAGTTGTCACATACCAGAAAATTCAGCAAGCAAAGAAATTGGAGCTGGCGGTGGGAAGGCTGGCGGGATCTTGGAGAGGAACTAGCATGAAATTGAAAGGAATAAGAACAATTAGAGTGAACCCAACATAAATCAAGGCTTAAGAGATGATTTCATGGTTGTTCCCTTACCAGAAAACCAAAAGCACTCTCACCGGCAAGAGCAGCTCGCGGACAGGGGCAAGGAGAACAGAGCAAATCCGAAAATTCTGCAGAGGGGAAAGATTTCCAAGCTTTAAATCTGGTTCTTGAATCAGAAAAGAAAGGCAAAAATCAGCTTCCTTACCGGTTTTTTCCAAGTGGGGTGTTGTCGGGCTTGGCTGGATGTTTGTTTGGTGCAGGGGAGAAGGAAAATAGCAGAAACACGCGGTTGAGGAAGAAAAGAAGGAAAAACCTTATCCTAATTCTTTCTCTTTTTAAGCCCCTCAAGTTTGAGAATTTGATGATTAAGTTTAAAAATATTATTTTCTCACAATTAGGTCCCTAGCTCACACTTAATTGTTTTTGAAAATTTTGGGGTATTACAATGTATGTACTATTTCAGTAATAAAGCTGATATACATGTCAGTACGGTGTTGACAACTTTGGTTTACATCTTTACATTCTTACCAAAATATGAGCTTCAAGTCTTTAGAAGTGGGACCATACGGGGATTTTTTTTTCCCATCTGAACGGAGTGGATGCACAAAAAATGGAGTGGAACGTATATTTAGAAAGCTGTCAAGACTAGAAAAGGTGGAATGATAGGACCATAAATGAGTTGAATTGGTTGTAAGTTACTCGGCTCAAACTTGAGTTTGAGCCGAACTCAACTCTAGGTTGAATTTGAGTTCAAATTTGAGCTCAAAAAATTGAGTTGAGTTCAATCTAAAACTGGACATCACATGAGTTAACTCAAATCTATTTGATTTTATTGGACTACATTGGTCTCTATTCAACTTGACTTAACTTTGTTAAAATAATTTTATATTAAATATTTAAATTTTTATTCTTATTAAGTTTCTCCTCTTACGAATGAAAAGTATTTTTCCATGTTTGGAAAACTGTTTTACTAGATAGCCTTAAAAAAATTTCCTTCGGTGATATTGACTCAAGGAATATTTATTAATATCCTTGTCAAATTATAGATTGAGAAACTTTACATTGACTGATTTGTGCAAGCCATATTGCTTTAAATTGAGTTTAAGGTTCTATTTACATTTACACTGTTGCTCCTAGTCATTGGAGTGCTCAAGTATGGTGCCACGTGTTACAAGGTTACTGTAAAACAATTAGAATTTGAAAATAAAAAATTTATGGTCTCAGGTACCAAGACTTGTAAGTTATTTGATAGGTATATTCAATACTTTAATAGTGATAAAAGTTTTATATTATGGCACTGTTATATTATAATTTTCCATCCCCTATTCCCAAATTGTACCTTTTTTTTTTTAATGAAAGTAAATTAGTACATATTTACCCCAAATTGTATTTGTTCGAAAAAAATTAAAAAAAGTTAATGTGTGTTCAATGTAACACTAAAATGTGGCATACATTTTACTTTATGCTTTTTTTCTATTGTTTATTTATTTATTTTATTTTATTTTTTTTCAGTATAGTGAAAGTTAAATGAGGCTTAAGATATTTTTAATTGGGCCTTTTTGGGTTCATTTAGATCGGTTTAAAGTGGTGTAGAAGTTAGATATTTTTAGGTTTCTATTTAGCATGGTAGTTGTTCTAACTTTTTAGTTTAGGATTTTATAAATTTTGTAATAATTGAAGATTAAAATTAAAAATTAAAAATTAAAAATTATTTAAAACAAAATTTAACACTAGAAATAAAAAATGTTCCTTTGTTTAAGAGTACTAAATTTATTATAGTTCTTATTTTCCTAATACTCATAATATTATATTGTAAAAGCACATAAAAATATGTAAGTTTTTTATTTAGAATTGCAAAAATTTATAAAGCCTAAAATCATAAATATACAAAAAACTAAGTCGAAGCATTTAAGCAGTGTCAAGTATAATTAAAGAAAGGGTTTTCTAAATATGTGCCTTGAAGGCACCTTTTTGTTATAAATGTATATAAAAAAATATAAAAATTAATATTAATTTTAATATTAGTGTTAAGTAAATAAATTTAATTAAACGGTTAATAAATAAAAAATAAATTTTTATTTTTTTAAATACAAATTTATAATAAAAATATATTTTATTATACTTGTAACCCGGTGTTTTAAAGAAAAAATCCTTAAAGAAAAAAAAGATAAAAATTGGATTTGGGGCAATCCTTGGCACGACTAATCATTCTCGGCAAAGCCTAATGTCCAGATCCACCAAAGGGAATTTATTTAAGCTTATGTTGTAATGTAATATTTCAAGCATGGGAAACAATTCTATTTGGTAAGCAGACAAAGCTAATATTTAATAAGCAATAGGCAAAGTTCTTTAATATATATATATATATATATTGAGCTATAAGCAACCTTTTATTACGTAGTAGATGAGGTATTATATGGAATCAATAATCAGATAGAGGGATAGCACTCAAACACAATTCAGACAAGCACGTATTGAAACATGACTAGTTCACTTCTTCTCAGCTTAATTTAATTTTTAGTCTATTAACTATCACCTTGATTTTATTTTAGTTTAGAATCTATATTTTATTTCTAAGTAGTCTATTAACTTTCAGATTCATTTCAATTTCATCTACTTGGTCAAAGATAACGGAAAACTTCCTATTGGTTTGAGAACAGTTAGTCCTCTGACTATATTTTTTTGATCTTTTAATCCTTAAATTTATATTTGTTATAAAAATAACTTTTTTACTTAAAATTATTATTTATAGGCTATGATACCAGATTTTTATACGGGTTTTCCTATTTCTTTAATTTAGTATCAAAGCCTGAAAGTTAATAGACCACTTAGAAATAATAATTTCAAGTATAAAAATCTGGCATCAGAGCCTAAAAATAATAATTTTAAGTATAAAAGTTATTTTTATAACAAATATAAATTTGAGGACTAAGAGATAAAAAAATATAGTTAGAGGGCTAACTGTTCTCTAACAGAATAGAAAGTTTTCCGTTATCTTTGACTAAGTAGACGAAATTGAAATGAATCTGAAAGTTAATAGACCACTTAGAAATAAAACATAGTTTATAGACTAAAATGAAATCAAGGTGATAGTTAATAGACAAAAAATTGAATTAAGCCACTTCTTCTCTAACTATTTTTATTTTTACTTTTATTTTTGTACTTTAGAAGTGAGACTGGAGATACTAGATGACATTCTTGTTTAGCATGAAGGCCTTAATAAGAACATTAGGATTAATGGGTGGATTTGATCCGAAAACAGAATTTGCAATTATGATTCTGCCTAGATTCTGGCTACTCAAACAAGAAAAGGCAACTGCAGGAGTTTCCCCTATATTGTGCTGGAAGTGAATCAAACCAATAGGGAAAACAAAAACATCTCCCTTATTCAGCACTTTGGTAACTACAAGAAATCTTTAGCCTTTGAGAATATCAATAATAAACTGTGATTAATGAAATTTTATGGTTCCAAATTAATGTATATTCAAAATAAGGCAAAAATGTGGCATCTATTTTAGTTTATTTATGTGAAATATATTGTATGGTTGAAGCTTTCATGTTAGTGATTAATAATGCAACTTAAATTTTATTAGTAGTAAATCTGTTTTCAATAGAATACTAAAATATGGTTAAAAGTTTTTCTAAATTTACCGTAGACCATCAATTTTTCTACACATCGGGTAGCAATTTATTTAAATTTGACTAATGTTTTGGTTAACTTTTAAATTTGATTTGTTGTTTGAAGTATAAGTGAAAGCATAAAATTTAAGGATAAGTACTCTGATTTTAAATTCAAGGAAATTATCTTTTTTTTTTTTATTATTTTTTTACTCAGCTTTTTCTTCTTTTTTATTTTTTTAGTATCTTTTCATTTATCTATACTTCATTTTTTATTAATTTTATTCTTATGACACTATCTCTTACCTTAGCTTCAGATATTTTATTATTATATTTACATATCCACCTATATACATCTTAAATTCTCTGTTTCTATATTGATAAATTCATTTTTCATTATTCTTTTTCCCTTCATCCTCCCACTATATTATTCTTTTTTAATTACTCCCCGCACTTCTATTGATAATTATATATATTTATATTTTATTCCAATTCTCTCTCCCATTTTCTATATTAGACATGCTCAATTGTTTTTCTTGTGATAACATCTTTTAATTTATTCTTTCACTTTTTCTCACTCTAAACTATATCTATCCCTACATTCCCTTTTTATATTAATAATTTGTTGGTTATTATTATTTCTATTCTTATCCTCTTCTAAATATAATTCTTGTTTAGTCATCCTTTGTATCATCATCTATCATTAATTCATTATATATCTTTTAACCTGATTTTTCTCTTTCTATCTATTATTAGATATTTTTTGTTTTCTCATGAATAGGACAATACCATATAAATATCTTAAAATTACAAATAATTTATTAATATATGTAATACATTTATACACATATCAACAAAGTTATAAATTTTAATCAATATAAGGTAAAGAGCATGCATTATTTTCCCTTTTTTTTCCCTTTTTATATTATTAATTTATTTGTTATTATTTATTCTCTTATTATCCTCTCATCTCTATCATTCTTTCTTAATCATTCTTTTAAATCTTTCTTTATCAAAATGTGTATCTTTTTTTACACCATTTTGTTCTTGATATATATTTTTTTACTTATCTATACTTCACCTTTTATTAATTTTTCTTGAGATTTCATCTTTTAACTTATTGTCTGACATTTTACCATTATATTTATTTATCCACTTTACATTTGCTCTCATTCTTTCTTTCTTTCATTCTCTCCCTCTCTATGTATATACATATATATAGTAGGGATTCACTTATATGTAAATTTCACACATTACATTTACACAAAATCTTAATTATTCATTTCTTAACTTTCAATGTTTGGGATTCATTCTCATTTATTAAAAATAATTATTTTTTCATCTAAAAAGTAGTAATAAATCTCAACCATTAAAAGTGGAGAGATAAATGGTAGAGATTTTGATTTTGTATAAATGTGGTATGTAAAAATTATGCGTAAGTGGATCCCTTCTTATATATATAATTGTTTGCTATTAATTTTCTTTCATTATCCTTATGCCCTCAATATTATTGTTTCTTAATCACTTATTACATATCTATTTATTGTTGTATGCCATTTTTACCCCCTCATATATAAGTATATATCTCCTCCATTGTTGTGTGTATTAAAAATGTTTAATTTTGTCTTAATGAAATAAAGGCTCTTACTTTACTATTTTTATAATTTTTGGTATAATTTAGATTTTTGATAAG